TAGAATTTTTGTCTTTCTATGGTTTATTTTCAGGCCCACCATTTCTCCAAACTCTTTTAATTCTTTCATAAGTGCTTTAGTTGATTATTGTGGATCTTCCACCACTACAAGTAAGTCATCTACAAAGGCCTGTACTTTAAATGACTTATCTCTAATTTTGAGTCCTTTGATCTTATCAGAAATTCTTAACTGATGCATTAAAATTTCATTTACTATCAAAAACAGCAGTGGTGATAATGGGCAACCTTGTCTCATACCTTTTTATATTTCAATTTCTTCTGATAATTCTCCATTAATTCTTATTGTTATTATAGTTTCTTTCTATTCGGTATCATTTTCTCCTGTTGAATTTCGAGCAGTTTCTTAAAAGGTAAAAATCAATATTTCCTCGAACTTTCTATAATACTCTGAACTAATCCCATAACTTCCTGGAGATTTTTATAAGATTTTGTTTAGCGAAAGCAGTTGAAATTTCATTCATAAAGTATAGTTGATTTAAAATTTCCTGTTGTTGTTTGGATAGTTTTTAAAAAAATTCCTCTAGGTATCTTTTTTGATCTTGGGATGGCAGTCCTTTCTCTGTATACGGTTTTGTACAGAAATCTTCCACTATTTTTTTAAGTCTTTAAAGTTTGTAAAGTTTTCATCCACTTTATTCTTAAGTCTTTGGATGTAGTTTTTGGATCTTTCGCTCTTCAATTTATATGCAAGCCACTGTCATGATCCCTGCATGGCCCCTGCTTCTTTTACCAAACTAAGAGGTCACACTACATGTCTTTCAGCTGCCACCATTTGATTACATTAGCACTGTTCAACATTAATAACAGAGGTCCAGGCAATGTGTCATTTTTAAAAGAACCAGATAGAAATTGTTTATTGTTACACACAATGAAAGTTCAAGCAATGTTGTTAACTCTTAACAAACATCCTCCTTCATCCACTCTCAACCACCACTCTCCCACCCAATCTACAAAACTCTTCAACTCTCTCTAAACTCTCACTCTCCCTCAACTAACTCCCTCTCCTCCTGCTGAGTCTCTTATATCTCATGACTCTGCCCCTTCAGCACTACCATTTCCCAATCTTCAAAACTCTTCAACTCTCTCTAAACTCTCCCTCTCCCTCAACTAACTACCTCTCCTCCTGCTGAGTCTCTTATATCTCATGACTCTGTCCCTTCAGCACTACCATTAGTCTATGCGGATATCACATTAATATTCATAACCTGGGCGGACGCCACAGCCACCATCCTGTTTTATTGTTCTCAAAATAATTTTGTTTGACAAATTTCAATTTAGCTGCAATGTCTTCTTGTCAAAAGACTATTTAGTTTATGTTGTGCAATTTGAATTTTGTTTTATTTGTGCTACTGGTGGATTTTTTAATCTGTTTTTCTAAATTTGCCAATTCTTTCTCCAAATTCTTATATCTTGCCTCTTTTGCCTTCCTTTTTACTCCTCCAAGCTTTATCAAAATGCCTCTGAGGACGGCCTTGCCAGCTTCCCATACCATCCACATGAACATTCATGTCTTCCTTTATTTTCTTGTCCATTTCTTCATCTCTAAGTACAGTAAATTTGCATTAAATCGCCACAATATTGGTTGCTTAGATGTCTCCAGCTCTACAATGGTCTGATAGTTCTAGAGATCATTTTTTTCTCCACTAAGTTCTTTATTCATGTTCTCAGAATCCACAGAGCATCAATTCTGGACCAGGATCGATGTCTATTGGTTCTCAGAATCCACAGAGCATCAATTCTGAACCAGGATTGATGTCTACTGGAGAAGAAAGTGTAATCCTTAGACTTTGGGTATCTTGTTTTTCATACTTCTATCAATGAGAGTTCGTCCATCACCTATAAGAAAGAATTGGGGATCAAGGTTCGGCTTTCAGTTCCTTTATCTTAGATTAACCTTTCTTTGTCAAAAACCACATTCAAGTCCCCTACTATGCAGCATTCCTCTTATTCTCTAATAGTTGTATCTTTGTATAATTTTTCAAAGAATACATTTTGATTGCAGTTCAGTGCATAAATGTTGACTAGCAGTACTCACTTTCCTTCTTTTTGACTTCTACCATTAGAGTTCTTCCATCTTCAGATGCATGTATTAATTCAGGTTGTAATTTTTCTTTAACAAACATCTGCACTCCCTTCTTTTTCTTCTCTGGGTCGGAAGATAAGAATAGCTTTCCCAGGCCTTTGTTTTCAATCAGTTTGGAGTCCTGTCTTTTTATATGGGTTTCTTGGAGACAGATTATACAGTATCCATATTCAGTTTTCTCAAGTATTGAAATACTTTGGCACACTTTTGGGGCAGGTTCAGACCATTGATATTCAAAGAACAGATCTTCCATTTAGACATCTTTTAGGTTTTTTTAATTAGTTTTATCATCTTTCTGGTTCTTGGTTTTGTCTCTTGCTGTCCTCCTGGTTAATGGGGGTTCTGATGATCCCATCAGTTCCTCTTCTGGTTGGCATTCTTCATCTCGTAAATCTGCTGGGTTTTCTTCTAGGTCTGATCCTATTTCTGATTTATCTAAGTGGTCAGATTTATCCGTATGGTTATCCTTCTCTTCGTCCTCCTTGGTTTTGTCCTTGATTTTTGTTAAGTGATCTGCTTTCATAGTAGAGTTGATGAAGTATTTCTGAGACTGATATTCAAATGTGAGTCCCTCTGGTGTGATTCATCTATAAGGAATTAAGTTTGTTCTGAGGAAGACTGACAGTTTTTCATATTCTTTCCTTTTAGCTCTAACTTTCCATGGAATATGTTTCAGAGCTTTAACATTCCTACCATCTTGCACTAGCTGTTTATCTTATGTTACTCTCAGGAGTCTGTCTCTAAAAGTCATTTTGATGAAACAAATATTAAGTTCTTTGGGTAAGAGATTCTAATATATGCTGAAGACATCCTTTTCACCGAATCTAAATTCTGTAATATCTCATCTTTTCCAACTCTGGACTATGTTGACAGAAGCTCGCTGGTGAATTCCAATAAGCCATCAGATTCTTTCTCAGAGATATTTTGAAGTCTCAAAAAGGGATTTGCTTGTTGCATTTGTATCAAGTTCGCCTCATCTTGTAGTCTGCCTCTTTCGCTTTCTTCTAGGGTATATTGCCAAGTTCTGGCCTCACATGGAACCCTGGATGTCCTCTTTGCCCATTTTGCTCCTGACCCCGCTGCACTGAGTGATACTTAACAAACTGCCACCAGCAGTGTGGAAACAGAAACCATAATTAGGAATTCCGGATAAATGGGGTGAAAGTGAACCAATGAATCCTGGCCTGTCTCAGCACCAGCCCCTACTCTCATGTGGCTTGTGAAGACTGGCCATTCATTTTCAGAGCCCTGGCCTTTTTGGTAAGTCTAAAATTAACATTTTGGATGAAGTATTGTATAAGCATAAACACTTGTTCCGAAAAGTTTGATTGAGGGTGTAACTGGAAAGCCAAATTGGGGGTGATTCAGCTTTGCTACAATTTGGTTTACAGCCTGCCTTATATTTGAAATCACAGTCAGTACTATCACAGGGGCTGAGGATTGACTTGGAAGTTCACCATACACATTGAATGCAAGGCGCATTTCATCCCACAGTTCCCCTTTTCTTTCATCTAGTCCTGCCTTTGTTAGTCTTTTTATGGGATACAAATATGAGAAATAATAATAACCGGGACCCAACAATAAGGTAATAGAGTGATCTAGCACTAATATCATACATGTAATAATTTTTCTAAGTCGAGGACAAGGGGGGGGGACAAAGAATGTAGAGTGCATGTTCTGAACATCACACTCCCAAATACCTATGTCACCAAAACATGGCCTACAGACATGCCACCACTCTTTACAAAGATGTATAACTCACCACACAGGACAACGTTCATTCAAATTTTTAAAAAAGTAGAAGCCTCCCCCGTGCCCCGAAGAGGGAAAAAGCCACTTTGGTAGCAAAAAGGGCTGGACTGATTAAAATGAGCCTTTGTGTCACGTGGTCAGTAAAAAACACTTTGAATTCACTTCTTTTATAAGCAGTCTTTCACCATGTGGTCGCACCCTGAGTGACTGGTGAGGTGAACTGGATACTACTCCCCCATAATCTGCTTCTGGTGCAATGGTATAAGTGGTCTATCATTCAAAGCAGCAGCCAAACGAACGCAAGAGCCTTCTTATTAATAGATTTCTGTATTTCTCAGTTTCGGAAGGCACAGACAGCACCAGAGCCAGAAGAAAAAAAAGGTTGTGCCTCATGTTCTTATTTCCAGGGAGGGAACAGGAAATGTCTGCCCCGCTACCAAATTTCAGCTTTTCCCCCTTTCTCTTTGATAGCAGCCTGTTCAGTTCAGAACATGGATGTACGCTGTAATTTTATTGCAAAGTTTGCAGGGTGATTACAAGAGTGGCTACAAAGGCATTTAGACCACTATTTCATTGTTTGTGGGGACAGACTGCTCCTTTTGCTGGCAATCAGACAACATATTTGCTAGATCAAACAAGCTCCCCCCCCCCGGAGGATTCTTATCCGCAACTTTTTCAGTCCCTTTTGGGGCTATTCTTTTTAAGGTTTGGGCAGGATCCACCTGGTTCACCTCCTGGACATGCAGCAGTTGGGAATGAACAAACACAGGGCTTCTTGGTTTTAATTTCCCGATATCATTAGTGGCTTGTACAGACTGCTTAGCCACTTATTGATTCTCAGAAATTAAAAACTTCCTAGCGAGCAGAGGAAGGGAGCAAAAAAATTTTTAATCCCAATCAGAACAGTGCCTGTGCACTATAACTGATAGGAAAAAATTAAAACATTGAAGGCTTACTCCCAGAAGCAGAAGGGGACTGAAGAGATTTCTTTTCTTTACAGTTTTTCTTATAGGAGGCAGACCAAATAAGGTTTTAATGGCCAGGGCAAAGTAAAGATTGCATCACAGGGCATACCAGGTTTCTAGCTGACCTTAAGTCATCCTCCTATCTAAATGAGCTATGTAGCGAAGCCCAAAGTACAGTGGTGCCTCGCTGGACAGTTACCTTGCATGACAGTTTTTTCGCTAGACATTGGCTTTTTATGATTGCTATAGCGATCCGCAAAACAGTGATTCCTATGGCGGAATTTCACTGGACAATGTTTGGTCCCTGCTTCGCAAACCGATTTTCGCTAGACGACTATTTTGACAGCTCTCTCCGCGCTCGCAAAACAGGTGTTTTCGGGACCTAAGCTTCGCAAGACAGCGATTTGAACAGCTGATCAGTGGTTCGCAAAGCAGCTTTCCTATGGCCGATCTTCGCTAGACAACGACGATTCTTCCCCATTGGAATGCATTAAACAGGTTTCAATGCATTCCAATGGGGAAATGCTTTTCGCTAGACAATGATTTCGCTAAACAGCGATTTCAGTGGAACGGATTATCATCGTCTAGCGAGGCACCACTGTATAATGTTAGGAAACAAACATTTGAGATAGCACACAATGAGAAGAAATCCTTAAAGAATGGGAACGTGAAAAATTTTCTCTCTCCGCCAAGCCTTTGTAATTTAGCTTGTTTTGTTGGGTGATGAGTCTTCAAGATCCAAGTACTGTACTGTACGGGATTCATCTGAAGTCCAATGTCATACGAGGTGGCGGGGAGAGCTTCGGTGTTTTTGGACTGCAACTCCCAGAAGCCTTCACCACCAGCTGTGCTGGCTGGGGGTTCTGGGAGTTGCAATTCAAAAACACCTGAGTAACAAAGGTTAAGATCCAAATACTGTACGGGATTCATCTGAAGTCCAATGTCATACGAGGTGGCGGCGAGAGCTTCGGTCACTTCTCTGCACCACTGAATATCCTTTCAGCTCTAATTGCGAGCTCCTTCCGACTTCGTTTTCTGGCACAGAACGGCGTCACAGCTTTACTTGCCCGGGATCCTCACTAGGAGAGAAAAACACGGGATCACATCAGGGAAATAAATACAGTAAATCAAACAGCTGACAGCGTATCCATGATCTTTCTCACGGTCTTCAAACAAATAAGAGGGAAGGCGGCGGGCAGCACAGGATCAAAAGGGCCTCCGCGATGACCCCCACCCCCGACCACCACTCGCTCTCCTCTTGCCCCCGCGGTCCCTTGTCCTGACAAGTAAAGCCTACGACCTCCTACAAGCGAGGAAGAGCGAGCCCCAAGCTTTCAAAGGAGCCGCGCCAAGGTAGGCAACAGCATTATCTCGCGAGAGTTTAGCTACCTTCCCTCTTCTCTGCGGTTTTTTTTTTTAACCCCCTTACAATGCGCACGCGCAATCCCTTTTCTCCGCTCAGCCCTCGCGGCTTCGTCACGAAGTTGTCGGGGGAGGGGGTTCGAATATACTGTCAGTACTCGTTACGGAAGCCCCGCCTATTTCTTTCACTTCCGGCTCAGGGCTTTTCCTGAAGGAAGAGAAGAAGAAGAAGAAGAAGAAGCCGGAGCCGACCGGGGATGGTTCTGGCGGTGGCGCTAGCTTCTGGTGTGGGAGCCGCGACCTGACGGTGAGTCCAAAGGAACCGCTCGCTTGGCCCGTGAGGCTCCGCGGTCTGTCTCGGTCCCTCTCCCTCTCTCTCTCTCTCTCTCTCTCTCTGTGTGTGGGTGGGTGGGTGTCTTTCGCGCGCAGGGTGAGGAAACCGTGAGCCGGCACCTTCTTCTCTCTCTCCCCCCCCCACCCGAATCATAGACGCGAACAGGTGAGGCCTCCCCGCCTCCCTCCCTCCTTGCCCACACACGGGTGGCCCCCCCAGAGTGGCGCCAAGGCGGAGGTGTTCCCGGTATGCCGTCAGCCTACGGAATTCATTGCCACAAGATGTGGTGGCCCTCGCCGGTTTTAAAAAGCCGGTGAGAGTGGAAGGCTGAGAGGTACCTCCTTGGGAAGCGCCGCGGGGGGGGGCTTCGTCTGGCATCTCTTGACTCCCCAACCGTGGGCGATTTCGCGATATCCTGAGGCCGGGCTGCCCACTGGCGAAGAAGGGAGCAGGGTGGTGAGTTAGTGAGACGGATCTATCTCCTGTGTCTTTAACCCACTTCTTTCCCTTCCCAGAGACCGATCGGACCAGAGCGACGTTCAGTAGATCCAATATCCTTCTCCCTCCACACACACATACAGACACACACACAGATCATTGGCTGTGTCTAGGAAGCTTAAAGCAGAACCTCGAAACAATTGATTAACTCTAAATGCAGGGTGTTATTTAGCTATGATTGGTAAAGATTGCTCACCATTTTATAATCTATCAATTTCTTTGCTTTTTGAAAAGCAGTTTAACCTTTAAGGTTATGGTAGTAGATTCCGTACTAAGCATGTGATTTATGTTGTGTTTTTCACTGTGCCAAATTAATTTCCTGTTACATGAGCTGAAGTGTTAGTGTTTTATCTGTTTACCACACCTTTCTCATTAAAAAGGATCCAAACCAGTTTAATTCCTTGAAATGTAATATTTAAATTTTGCGACAGACAATTTTTTTTAGACATTCTCTGCTGTGTTTATTGTTTTAAAGTCTTTACTGGTTCCTGTTAAAGCTGTCTTTCTTTTAAAAAGAATAACAAGAAATTCAAAACAAAACACTGTACAGTACCTCTGCCTCAAAATATCTTTGATTTGTTATATCTACCATAAAGTAAAGTAAAATTGCTTTCCATTCCTCGTGTCTTTGTCTAAAAACATGCAAATATATAAATAATGTATCTAAAAGTATTGCCTGTGGAAACAAATATTGCTGTGAACATGTTTGTCTCTGTATGCTGGAGAACTCTATAGTAATTCTTCCCCTTTAATAAAAGTTCATGATACTAAAATCTTAATATAAAAACTACATTCTTAATGGATGTTCCCAAGGGGGGGGGGACAACAGAATTCAGATTAACAAATGTCCAGCAGCTGAGATAAATGTGCTAGGTTTTTTTGCAGATAGAATAAAATGGGATGTTGTTTTACTCAGGAGTTTTAGAATTAAGCGTTGATGGATGAGGCACTTCTGTCTTTGGATCATGAATATCTTCACATTCTACTCTGTTCTGCCTTACCACGTTTTTAATGTAATTAATGACATTAATATAATTCCCATATTTGGAGGACAGTAGTAGAGACATGGAAAAACATCACATGGGGACACTGATTAAACTGCATATGAAATCTCGTTGGATGGGAACCTGACTGTGCAATGGGAATGATAACATCAGCAACAGCAGAATGCTATTGAAATAAAAGGGGAGTTGTGTGGTCAATGCAAAATAAAATACAAATGCAAAATGATTTTTAAGCAGAATACATACTGCTGATTGAAGGCTTTTTTGTTTTTGCAATTTTGAGGTACATGCAGATTTGTTGCATTGTATGTGAACAAACTTGCCCCAAAATCTCAAAAGGAAGTTTTTAATCTGCAACAGTCTGCTGCTATTGGTAACATCATTCCCATTGTGCAGATGGGGTTATGCAACAGGATTTCAGCCTGTGTGTAATTATGCCCACTGCTTATGACAGTTTCTTTCTTTCTTGTCCATGTATATTGCCGAATGCCACTTCATTGCCAGCATCACATTTGCTTTTTAATTGTTTACAGAAGCTACTTTCATTTTTGCTATAGTGCTTGTAAAATAAACTAAAACCTGGTTATATCATAAGTGTACAATGATTTCACAGTTCAGCTGTTTAAATCTGTAGATGCTAAACTATAAGCACCGTAGTTTTAAGTCCATCCATAAGTGTGGCGTATTTGTTTTGGGATACATGCTAGTCCGAGAGCTAAAAATTCTAAGAATGCTTTTTGAGTGCCTCGTCATAATTCTTCATGTTTAGCACAAGAAGATTGGTTTGATAGCAACATCCATAATTATTAGTATAGACTTTAAGAAAGTAGTCAGTGAAGGATAGGGCAGAAAGTCCCAGGTTCAGTCTTCAGTAAAGACTCTGGGGGAAAAACCTGTCTGAGACCTTGGAATACAACTTCTATTATAAGTAGATAGTACTGGACTAAATGTGCCATTGGTCTGACTAAATAACACAGTTTCATTTAATTTAAGACAGGTTTCTGAAAAGAGGTTGTGTATTGCTATGCATAAGCTATGTAAGAAAATGTATGGGTAAAAATGTTTTAATATAATAAAGTGTAACATTTTGGAAGAAAAATCAGCTAAAAGCTGATGTAATTAATGTTATTTTTCCCCTTTAGTTTAGCCTGAAGGTAGCAGTAATGCTAACACTGGCAAGCAAACTAAAGCGAGATGATGGTGTCAAGGGATCGCGGACATCCAACTCAACATCTGATTCTACTCGAAGAGTATCAGTTAGAGATAAATTGCTTGTCAAAGGTAATACCATTTCATATTTTAAAAAGTCATCATTCTGCTGGTATTACCCTTGCTTGCTTGATAGATTAACACAGAGGTTCTGGAATAAAGAAAACTTTGGAAAGCTAAGATACTTACAGATTTACTTGTGTGTGAAAAAGCATAGAAACAGTAGTTTAAGTACCTTAACTTGTATTCCATGTAAGCACATTGCTGTGTACCAGTTCTGAATATATTTACTCAAGAGCACATTTAATGTAATGAGTACAACTTTCTTGCATAAGGACTGAACTTCATAGAAGCTAAAAGGACTCTGTGGTCTTTGGCTAACAGACTTGACTTCTAACCTTCCATATGTATTTTCATTACTAATTGCAGGGTATGTATGAAGGGAACAGAGTTGACAGGTAGAAAGTATGCAGAGAGATGCAAGGTTGACGATTTGGGAAAATGTCTGTCATTATGGGCAGTGTGCAGTTTGGTAGAAGAGTTAAGTAATGCAGTTTTTAAATAAACACATGCACCTCTGGGCTTTGGAAAAAGCTGACTTTATTCAAAATGAAATAATTCTTCTCATATTTTAATAAAGCAGTTCTGGGGATTTTAATAGGGCTTCAAAAATTTTCCAACATCACATCTTGTTGAGAGAGAAAAAGCTCCAGGAATAATTCCATGCATATTTAGAAAACAAGAACAACATTAGATGTGTCATTAGCTCAGTGGTTTAAGGAATCTGGCTGTGGGGCCAGAGATTGGTAGTTCAAATCCTCACTGTGCCTCCTTGACAGGAGCTGGACTTGAACATCTACAGGGTCCCTTCCAGCTCTGCTGTTCTAAGATGTTGCTATCATCATCGTATCTCCATGTATTGCTGTAGAAAAGTACAGTGGTGCCCCGCATAGCGACGTTAATCCGTTCCAGGATTACCGTCGCTATCCAGATTCTTCGCTATGCAGGGGGGGAACCCATAGGAACACATTAAACTCAGTTTAATGCATTCCTATTGGGGAAAAACTCACCGGTAAGCAAAGAATCCCCTATCCGGCAGCCATTTTCGCCGCCTCGGTAAGCGAGGTGCGAAAACGCTGCGGGCGGCCATTTTCCCCCAGCTGGGTGGCACCGAAGCTAGCACCGCCCAGCTGGGGGGAGAAGGTTCGGAGCGCCCACGATGGAGGCTTCCCTGGAGGTCGCTCTGAAGCCAGCGCCACCTAGCTGGGGGGAGAAGGCTTCAGAGCGCCCGCGGTGGAGGCTTCCCCGGAGATCGCTCTGAAGCCAGCGCCGCCTAGCTGGGGGGAGAAGGCTTCAGAGCGCCCGCTGGTCAGCTGGGGGGAAATAGGGCCTATGGGGAAAAATCGCTTTGCGATTTTTCCCCATGGGAAACATCGCAATGCGATCGCTTTTGCAATCGCAAAATCCGCATCGCTATGCGGATTCGTCGTTAAACGGGACACTCGTTATACGAGGCACCACCGTACGTCTCCTTGGTGATACAAATCCAGTTTGCCCATTTTGCTGGTGGTATCTACTAGACTGAATAGTAGAGAAGATCAAAATATTAATCAATGTAATCTGTACAGAAGCCTGTGGAATCACATTAAATTGAGGCCTGAATCCAAGAACTAGTGGGTCTTGTTTACAAAATGTTTAAAGAAAAATAAGGGTCAAAATTCTGCTGCATAGTTGCACTATATGGAGGGGAAATAGTATAATTTGTAATGCAAACTATACCTAATTAATGAATTAGCAGTTGAATTTCTGGTCATATATCAAGCCATGCAGTGGGGAATCCAAGTAGGGACTCACTAAATGGTGATAATTTGCTGCTCTGTGTTACGTAATTTTCCATCTGTTGATATAAATGTTGAAGAGGGTTTTGGCCTATATGGACATACTGTGTAAATAGAGAATTAGAATTTATAATCCTTGTTCTGTTATGAGATCGTTTCACCTGAAACATTCTTGAATTTCACCTAATGTTGTCTAGTGCTTATTTTTTTAAAAAATAAGGGACTTAAATTTATTTATTTATTGGACTTATATACCGCCCCATAGCGCTACAAGCACTCTCCGGGCGGTTTACAATTTAATTAAAGATTACAGTAGGTGACAGGATTGTGAGATAGAGCTGTACCATCAGTGAATAATAGCTATAATTAAATAGGTGCCAAAATCCCAAAAAATTATCTGCAATTCATTGTTTGAGGAGATAATATGAAATGTGATAAATCACATGCTTATGGTATGAGAGCATGTGCTGAAGCTCCTTTGCAAAAGCTACCCTGGGTTGGTTTATGCTTGGGTAAGAGATCCTTGGGGAACCTTATGTATGCCACCTTGAGTTCCAGAATGGAAGAAAGGTGGGTGCAAACCAAATAATAAATTTCAAACATAATTTAATGCTTTGTCAAGCACAGAAAAATAATGTACAGTATTTAGGATGAGGAGCTGTAGCGAAGCAACAGGGGGAAAGCCTTGCCTGAAACCTTGGAAATTATCTGGTAGTCAAAGGTGACATGCTGGGCTAAATGTACCAATGGTTTCTCTTAGTATAGGCAGTTTCCCAGATTTTATGCAATATGCCAATCACACCACGGTTTCTGGTTGTAGTTTGCAGGCAAATTCTTGCTCAAAACAATATGTAGTTTTACTAATTGGGACATGATGGCAAATGGAAGGTGTCAGAAACCTAGTATACAGAGAAGCTTAGCAAAAACAGGAAAAGAAGACAGTGCACAAGGTTGCTTGCTGTACATTCCCAACAGAAATTTAATTGAAGTTTGATGAGAGTGGTTCCTGAACAAAGATTACAGCCAACGTAATGTAGTCAGAAGGTAAATAATTCCAGGGTCTCCAGTAGATGTTTGCTAGAATATCTTAAACATGCTTTCCTGGATTAAGGAGGGCCATTTTAGTTTTTGGTTTTTAAAGAAAATGTCAAATTTGGGGATGGTATCATATTCTTCCTTCACTTAGGCACAGGTGCCTCTGAATTTGTAAACTTATGGTGATACAAGAGGTGTAGAGAGCAACTGGCAGTAGTGAAAAGATGGTCTATGTTACAGCAAGTAGGAAATGGAAAGGTTGGTTGTGCGTTGGTGGAAAGAACCATTAGATTATATTTTATATATTAACATAGGTATGTGTAATCTTCATATTTTTCTAGTTACTGTATATGTATTATAATAATTTACTGTGTTTCCCCCAAAATAAGACAGGGTCTTATATTAATTTTTGCTCCAAAAATGCATTAGGGCTTATTTTAAGGAGATTTTTTTTTCTTTCAAGTACAAGAATCTACATTTATTCAGATGCAATCATGTCATTTTCTGGTTGCTGCACAGTGGTGGAGGGTGGGGGTTTCACTTAACTAGGGCTTATTTTTGGAATAGGGCTTATATTACAAGCATCCTGAAAAATCATACTTCGGCTTATTTTCAGGCTAGGTCTTATTTTGGGGAAAACAGGGTACAGTATTTGAATGTAAACTTACTTAATTATTCTATATAGTGTGATACTAGCTAACATTATTTGTTTCATTTTTAACAGAAGTTGCAGAACTTGATGTAAATTTACCTTGTAAGTAAAAGATTCAGTATGTTTTCCAAGGAATAATATACTTTTGTTTTCAAAGTTTATATGACATTTTCTCGTAGATGAGAGATCAGATACAATAGATACAGACTTATATGTTTATAAAAGTCAACTTTTCTATGCATTTCCAATAACTTTAATTTTTATTGCATATAAACTACTTCACATTTTCCTCCTTTCTTATTAGAATAGTTTCTCTGCATTTCAACATACCTGTACATATATGTTATCAAAACTCAAGTTCATTAACATTAATTCATGGCAGAGATTTAAATAGGAACTAAAATTTCTCCCTTTTAAATCTTTATGATTTCAGAATGCTTGTCTTTTCATCAAACATGCCTTAATGTTGAAGATTGGCTAGGAATGTTTTTTGGCTTTGTGAAATGTTTGTACACCTGTATACAGTATAAGCTCTACATAAAAGTCATGAACAATTATGCTTGTGGTAGACAAAATTCAGATTTTTGATGCCTGGATTCTCATTTTTCTCTTCATAAGGCATGCCCAACTACCTCAATCGTTCCTTGTAGGGCTTGGTTTCCAGAATTTCTGTCATTCTGGTTGCCCTCCTTCAGACATCTTCCAGTTTTCTTGATGTCCTTCTTAAACACCGGTGCCCAGGACACAGTATCCCAGGAGAGGTCTGAGTAATGCAAAATAGAGTTGTACTGTTACTACCCTTGATTTGGACAGTATACTTCTGTTGATGCACCAGAATAATAATTTAAGCTTTTTTCTTTTTCTTTTACTACTGCCACATCACATTGTTGACTCATGTTTAGCTTGTAGTCTGTTAAGACCTATAGATCTTTTCAAATGTTCTACTGTATCTTATCCAGAAAGCAAAAGCCAAGTGTACTGCTTGTATAACACCTCATGGTGCTTAAAGCACACTCTGGATGGTTTAAAGTTTAACTATGCAGGCTGCACATATCCCTCCCCCAGGGAGCTGAGTACTCATTCTACTGATGTCAAAAGAATGAAAGTCTGAGTCAACCTTGAGCTGGCTACCTGAGCCTATTAGAATCAAATTCAGGTCATGAGCAGAGTCTTGACTGCAGTTTAACCAGTGTGCCACGATGCATCCTATATTCATGCATCTGATTTTTCCTGTCTACATCTAGAATTTAACATTTTTTTCTTGTTGAAACTCATTTTGGTTTGTCCTATTTCTCCAGTCTGTTAAGTTTTTCCTGAATCCTGATTCTATTTTCTGAAGTGTTAGCCACCCATCTTAGTTCAGTGTCGCCTGCAGCTTTAATGAGCATACTGTTCAGACCTTATACAAATCATTTATGAAAAGGGTGAACTTTGTCAGGCTGGAACAGACTCCTGTGGGACCTCACTAATCTTTTTTTTTTCCAGGATGATGAACTACAGTATATGCCAGCACTCTTTTGACAGTGAAAGGTTTAAAAAAAATCTAAGGGGAAAATGCAAGGGAAGGTGATTTTAAAATACACAGAATGTAGTATTTTGCTCATTATGTTTTGATATTACAACTCCTCCTCAGATAGACTTTGTATTATTTTTCAAAGAGAAGTTGAAGAAGATAGCTTTGATTTTTTTTTAAGCGAAAACTGAATTAGTAACTTTTGAAGAATGGTTATACCTGAAATAACCTGGACAGTATTTTATCTTCTATGTATCTTCTGGAATCCTTATGTTTTACTTCTATTTCTGATAGCTTTCCTTTGCTCTGTCGTTAATTTAAAAAACACACACAATTGTCAATTGTTTTCAAATGTTTATCTATTTTTTTTTCCAGGTACCTGTGAGGTGAAATTCCCTGACCCAAATAAGCTTCACTACTTTCTCCTAACTGTAAACCCAGGTAATTTTTCAAAAGTATATGTAGACACTATGATGGTAACATTAAAAGACCATGACAACTGCATGTACAGTACATGGTGTTCATATATGTGCACACAAGTGTTAACATTCTAAGCTATTTGTATAAACTTAGAACAAATGTTTATTTATTTATTCATTAATTAACTTAAATTTATTTATTCATTTAAAGTATTTGTTTTTCTCCTTTCTGGCCACCAAGTTTGCTTAGTTTAGTTTACTAAGCTCTAAAATGTAAGTACATTTTTAGTAAACCTAGATTTATTTAGTTTAATTAAGTAAAAAAAGGTGGCCAGAATCCAATTATATATGGCAGCTGGACCCCACTACTTCTGTAGAAATTGGTGTTCCTCTCTTCCTCTGGCAGTCCGTTGCACACTAAAATTCTGATTTAAAGAGCTTGGAAAATTTCTGGAGTAGTTTACTGGCGCTGTGGATAGCTGCAAAAGGAAAAGAACAGGAGAAGAATCCCAATCTCAGTATGTTAGATACAAAAATAATGCTATTTGTTCTTGGTCAATGTCTTTATGTTTTGGCGGTGTATCGTCAAATAAAAGCCATGTATCATCCATAAAAGTTCTCTAATCACTGTAATTCTGCACAAAACAAACACAAGACAAAGTGCAAGGCATTTTTTTTAAAAAAGTTTGTTTTAAGGACAAATGAAAAACAATACGTAAATGTAGAAGGATACATTCATAATTTAATAAATCAGGTGTGATCTTGCAAACATTCAAAACATACATTTGAGGTATGCAAATAATTCAATAGTTACATATTTTTTTACAAAAATATTTTCAAAAAAGCATATAAACAACTCAGACTGATGAAACATGTGTACTTACAGCAGTCCCAAACATTTTTGGGACTGTGGACCTGTGCACGGGGGGCGGGGCAGCCCCCGTGCTCGTGGCGGGTGTGTCGCACTTACACCCCTGTGTGTGAGTGCAACACAACTCTGGCGCAAGCATGACACACCCACCGGGCAGGCGGGAGGGCGTGAAGATACGTCTCTGTGGCCAATGGTCCGGGAAGCCTACGGACCCCGGGTTTGGGGACCCCTGCTGTATAACATCCGTATACCAATCTATCAAATTTTCAGAGTATAATATAAGGCTTCATCTTTATTCAAAACATTACTAATATACTTCAGTTTTCAGATTGGTGGCCTACTTCATCTTTCTTCTTTGATTCAGTGGTTGAAAATCTGTTACTTAGTTTAATAATAATAATAATAATATAA